TGACCTCCCTTCCACCCACAAACATCCCATCTCCCACTTTTTCTCCCATCTCATTCTTCATCAAGATGTCTTTGATTCAACTGTATACTTTCCTGCTCTGTCTTCTAAGTCCAATATTCTCTCTTCTGCCTCACTGATTCTGTTTTTAAGGCTCTCAACTGCGTTTTTTTATTTGTTCTATTGAATTCTTCATTTCATTTTGATTCCTCCAGAGATTTTCTTTCATGTCCTATATGGATTTCAGTAGTTCATGTGTTTGATTTTGATTACTTCTAAGTATTCTTATCATTTTTTGAGTTCCATTTCTTGCATTTCTTCTGTCTTGTCATCTTCATAGTCTTGATAGTCTTGTTTTGAAGTGTCATGTTCTTTTGGGAGCATCATGTTGTCTTCCTTATTCTTGTTTATTGGGTTGTTGCATTTGTTGTTTGGCATTTTTGGAGATACTCGGTTTCTTCTATTTTTCTTTTTTTTTTTTTTTTCCCACTGTGATGGCTTTTCTTGTTGTACTATGACTCTGTTAATAAGTGGACTATCTGCATTCAGTGAATTTCTAGAGGCTTGTGGTGGCTGTGGCCAGAGAGCTCTGTTCAGTTCTTCAGGGTTAAGGGTGTGCCTAAGGTGACACACCCAGGTTTGTCATGGTAAATCTCTCTCTCTCTCCTTTTTTTAATCAGAAATTAAGTATGTCTGCTCCTCTGAGCTCTTCTCCTCGAAGGCAATCAGTGCCTGAGTGCTAGCCCCAATGGGTGTAATATTCATCTGCTCTGTCCCAAGGACCACACAAAGGATCTGTGCAGTCCCCAGTGTAAGCTCAGATTCCCCTACAATGTCTCTCACCGGGTAGCCGGGGCTTCCTGAGCTTGTGGCATCTCCCCTGAGACTGCTCAAAGTCTCAGCCACACTGTGAGTTCTCCCACACACTGTTTTTTTAGTTTTTTCCTCGCAGTCCTGGTTCAGAAGCTCCACACATTCACTAGGTCTCAGCCGCCTGTTATTACTCCCAGCCAGAGTCAGGTTTCTCTGCTCTGCTGATTGCTGGGTGCAGCCCTGAGTTGGCGCAGCTGTTACATATGTCCAAAATGGTGCCTGCTCTATCGGCTTGTAGGCTTTTGTAAGGTGATTGGAGAGAGAGAATCGTGTTCATACCATCCTTTTTATTTTTTCTCTCCTCTAGTTAGGCTGGTGTCCTTTCCCTCACGGGGCTTCAAGCTTCGTTCCCTCTAGGCTCTTCCTGCCACTTTTCCACCAGTGTCTCAGGCTACTGCGGTTTTGTCTCACCTCACTTTGCAGCGCTAGTGCAGAGGCTCTCAGCAGCTAGAGTTCCAAGCCGTGGGTGTCCACGCCATCCACGTAGGTCCACCATGTTCCTCTAATTCTGGAAGAGTTTCCTCTGTCATTTTTCCCCTAATTCTTCCCTGAGACTACACTATCTCCACTTTTATTAAACTATCTTCTCCTGGACTGTCAGTGAGCTCCCTCCCTATTCCACCGTCTTGGAACCTCCCCGCTAGTTCTTACTAGCAAGCTCCTATTGTGATCCAGCCAAAATAAATCCAGTGATGTAGGAGTTATAAACTCCACACCAGGCAAAGTAAGTCATCTCTAGTGTCAGATTCATTGTTGTCTATGCCCTGACATTGTTGCACCCATTAATCTTAATTTATATGTGCATATTCATTGTCACAATTCAACTTTAATAAACTTTATAGATGTTTCCCCAGTGTTAATGATTTCCTCCAAAGAAGCTACACAGTTGGGCTGTGTGTAGAAAGAATTGTTGTTGAACAGGCAGCTCTAGAGCTGTAAAGCAAATGTGGCATTTTAATAAGGATTACTTTCACTTGCAGTATGCTAAGTGAAAATAGGCAGGTTCAGATGGCTACATATGGTTTTATCCCATTCATATGCCATTATTGTAATGCTGATCTACCTGGGAGAACAGACAAGTAGTAACTAGGGGCTGGGAATGGTGGAGATGTTCTGTTTGGGTGAGCAAGGAGGTATGTTTTGAGCTGATATGTACTCTATCTTCCTTGTAGAGGAGAGCACATACTAACTTTATGAAAACTCTCAACTGTGGGGAGCAATCCGGACTGGACTAAGTTACTGGAATTAAGACTTATTCTGTGCATCTGCTCTCCCACAATATGGCGCTGGGAGAGAAGAAAACAGCTTCTACACAGCTGCCTCCAGTTCAGCCAATAAACTGTAGGACTTGCTCCTGATTGGAGGAGAGCAGCGTACTCGGCGTGTGGGCAGCCGAGTTAGGATTGGCGGAGGAGGACTATAAAGGAGGAGAGAGACGGCATGCACCTGGAACATCTACGGGGAACATCTAAGGGAACACCTGTGCAGCCCCCGAGAGAGCCGGCTGGCGGTGTGCCGCTCCCCTGCGGAAGTGGGGAATGTGGCCAGGGGGAACTGCCCTTCCACGGAGGTGGAAGGGTCAGTAGCCAACCCAGGAAGAACCAGCAGCAAACCTGGGGAGGGCCGAGCAGACGAAAGAACAGCGCAGGGTCCCGTGTCGCTCCTCCACGAAGAGGGGGAGCGACACTCAACACTGTACACATTTTGGCATTTGAAACTACTTATTTGAAAATAGCAGCCACACTGATGATGCATCTCCACACACCAACGTCTTTTTGTAGCAAGATTTTTCTAGCCCACAATGTGAGGTATGTGTGGAAGACTTGCTTCCAACACTAGGGAACTGTGACAGGGAGCTCCCTGGGCCCTCATAAAGTCACTGTATACCTCATTGTCATCCTTTTATGAATGTATCACATGTGACATGAAGAAGTTCTTAAAAAAATGTAACCCACAAACAACTTCATTCCTAGGTCTCAAACTATGAACAACCTATTCCAATCTTAGTGAAATATGAACCAAATAAAGGTTTCAGTTCAGAGATAATAAAATAACCATAAAACCTGAGTTCACAGAACTCAGTAAAAACAGTCACAACTGATATGTCATTGTATGAGGAAAATTCAAAAGTTCATGGAAAATAGAATTAAAAGGCAAGTTTACTTTGATGCTAAAATTCTTTAGAATCACACATATCTCTTAATATACATTTTCATCTCATCTGAAATGGCAAAGTGAAAAATGTAGTTTCATATTTCAATTTCCAGTGAGTCCACAAAAATGACTGGGTCTGGGGACTATTGGAGGAAATATGCCATCAATATAACAAAAATGATACAAAAAACACCAACATGATACAAATGCATGTAAGTGTTGAGTTGGGTGTTTCTCCTAATGAGTAAGACACCTGTTAAGACACCTGTGTCCCATATTGGAGTACCTGAGTTCCATACAGAGCTCCAGTTCCTAACATCAGCTTCCTGCTAGTGCAGTGGCAGTGGTGATGGCTCAAGAAATTGGGTTCCTGCCACCCATGTGGCTCCAGGCTTTGGCCCAGTCCAGCCTCAGCTATTGTCCCCATTTAGGGAGTGAATTAGCAGGGGAATTCTTGCTCTCTGTTTCTCTCAAATTTTAAAAGTGTGTTGCCTGTGCATGTATATGCATGTACATATGTGTCTATAGGTTTCACAGGGGTTTCTTGGAAGACAGAGAAATGCTCAGATATGTGGTTACATTGTCTTGGTGCTGTCCTGGTACTGGGGGCTCTCCATAGTGGCAAGGCTTAGTCAGGGAGGGGGGCGCTGGTCTTCCACTTACCCCCTGTAGTAGGCACTGTTGTCCTGCATGGATCCATGGATTCCCTCAGCCTGCTACTACTTTGCATGCGTATGTAGAGTACAGGCACATTTCTCAAGGTTGGCCAAAGGTCTTTCTGCCTAGAACTTCCCTACAGCCACTCCCCACAGGGCTCCATCCCCGCTTCTCTCTTCTCCTCTCCAGCAGCAGCAGAATCCGGCTGGGCCAGACCTATGCATCTTTGTGTCTGTGTGGAGTGACAGAAGGGGGCCTTACCACTCTCATCATCCCTCTCCCAGCCCAAGTACTCCGTACTCTCTAGGGCTTAAGCTTTAAAAATAAAAGGCTAGGGAATATTGCAACATTTTCTGTTTCTCTTCCTGTTTTATTATTTTGCTCAGAATTACCCAAAGATTCTAACTGAAGAGAAAAAAGAAGAAAAATATGACAAACAAAAGTTAATATATAAAAATACATTTTAATAAGTATAACAAATGGAAATGCCTAAAAGTAAGTCCACAAATAAATGTGCAGCACATAGAGAACTCTTATGAATATACCTTTTTAAAAAGGCTTAACTAAAGGCATACTTGTATGCTTTCCTGCATATTAAAAATATTTACTCTGCTAACTTGGCCTATAAATTATAAAACCAATAAAAATTAAATCATAGGTTTTCTGAGATTGGAGGGAAAACTCAGCCAAATGATGTCGGACTTATCAACAAGATTAAGAGTATCTGAAAAATGAAAAAAATTATTAGAGAATAAAGAATGATCACTATATTTTTCAAATATAGTGGAAGTAAACTTAAATACAAACAAGTTTAGTTAAGTGAGGAGATATTTCAAATCATTAGGAAAAGAAGACAATGTTAGATATTATACAAAATGGTATGAGATCCAGTTTAAAACAGAAAAAAAAAGTGAAACCATGAAAACACTAGGTTGGAAAGAAATGTGTTTTAAAACTCTTAGATTCAAGAGAGTCAAAGTGAAAAACAAAACTGCACTTGAATACAATGTATATGTGAGCCAGATTTTTGCTTCATAACATTTTGAAAAGTTTATACTATGGAGACTATGAAGAAACAAAGTAATTAAACACAAAGTTCACAAAATATCAGTCCCCAAAATTAATGAATTTAGAATTAACAAAAGCTAGGCTTATCCAGGTGTTTGTTGTTGTTTTAGTCTTTTAGCCGTTACCCATCGTTAATTCCTGAAGTAAACGGACTCCTGCATAGATGCACACTCTACCGATTCCAGTAGCTCCTGCTGTCACGCCTAGCATGAAGACATTCTCAGAGTAGAGATCTCGCACTAGTCAGATTATTAAGAGATACGTGAAAAAATATCATCCAGGTCCTGACTTAACACAGATGTTACTTTGTCCAGTTACCAAGTCCAAACGAGAGCGTGCAAGCACAAGGACGCAGCACCAACGAGCCAGGGACCCAGCCGCACCCGGAAGCCAAGAGCCAGGAAAACCGCTGCGCGCGGGACCACGAGGCGACCGTTGCCAAGACGGCCACAGGCCAGGCGGGCCCGGGACACACACCGAGCAGTGCCTGGAGGTCAGCTCCTCCCCGCCCCGGCGCCCACCGACGGGCCCGACCTCGCTGACCTAACCCCAGGCCAGAAGCTTCCTGGCCCTCGCTGCAGCTGCTGCCCTGTGCGGGCCCAAGAAGTCCCTGGGCCCGGGCTTTAGCCCTGCCTTCTCCAGGCTTCCCTGTTTGTCGACTGTGGTGGAGCCGGGACCCCGGCATCGCCGCCCCTTCCCCTTCCCGGGATGGCACTGTGCGCTCCGCCCAGCCCCAGGTGCTGCTGCAAGGTGAGGTGGCCCAGGTCGGGGACAGAGCCTCACCCTGACCGCCAGGCTGCAGTGTCTGGGCCTGTGGTCCTGCCCAGGAGACGGGAGGACAGAGGGAGGCGGATGAACGCGCAGTGAGACTCGTGGGGAAGCTTGGTACGGTTACATTGGGCACCCCAGATGGTGAAATAGTACAGAAATTACGAGGGATATTCTAAAACAGTAATCTGAGTTTTTAGAATTCACTAGGAAACAGTGATCTCTAAAAAGCGGGAATAACCCAAGTACTTAAGCTTAGGAAGTCACACATCGAATAATTGGGAAACGGGAGGAAGCTGGCTAGCCATTCAGAAAAATAGAGCTCAGTTTCTCATTGTTTATCATCTAAAACAGGGTGGCCCCAAACGTTTACTATAGAGAGGTGAGACCCGGAGACGATGGTGTGACAACAGACGGAGATGGAAGTGATGCCACCACAAGCCACAAGCCCGGAGATGCGAGGAAAGCATCGACCCTTGGAGCTTGAGAGGCAGTGCGCCCCGCTGAGACCTCGATTTCAGACTTCTGGCCTCCTGAACCCTAGGACCGCACTGCAAGTTAACCAGTCCTTGTTCTATCTGCTGGGGCAAATACGCCCCACCCACTAATTTACAAAAACCAAGAGCAAACCAACCTGGTGAAACGCAGCATCCCGTAACAGAGCACTTCCGAGCTTGCTTTCCTTACCCCAGGTGGACACCTTTGCCTTCCAGAATCCTTGAAGGGAACGTTTCACAGCGTGGAGGAGTTTCTGCGCTCTGAACTGTGGACTGATGGCCTTGGTCTCCATTTCCTGAAGCACTTTGTTTTGTGTTGTGCCAGTCACGAAATCTCCAAAGAGAGCAAGCTGTTACGTGTAGCAGGGGTCAGGTCAGAGATTTTACTTCAGGCATCAGTCGTCAGCAGCCCGCCCCCTCCTCGTGTTGAGGTTTTCAAGCATTTCTTTCTGTTCCTTTAGCTCTGGCGCTTCTAGCATTCAGCTGCTTCTTGGGCAAGCAGCCTTACTTTCCTGAAGGTGAATGTTGTCATCGAAACCATTAGTTATTCCCCTCTGATGTTGTTCTCCATGTTACTGTGATGCCTCTAGGACAGTTTTGGCCCCGCTCCCATGGGACTGAAGGGATTTTGATGTCTCAGCCAGTGGCTATACCTCTGGCCTTCAGGAAGTGGCATCCTTTCCATTAAATATGGAACCTTTCTGTTTTCACTCAAGGAGCTCTGCTGTATTTCCACTCGTTTGCCTCTTTATTAAGTGTTCTGTAGACAGGGTTCATGAACGTTGGGGAACTGGCCTCCATCCACTGCAGGTGGCCCCACAGCTTCTAAGACTTCTGTAATCAGTCTCATCTTCATATACTGGCTTCTTCATATACTTCAGCTTGGGGATAGAGGTCATGGCCAGTTCCTTTTCCCATAAAGTAAGTCCTCCTTGCCCTATAAAAACAAACACAGCAGTCTCCTAGGGAGGCTCAAAAACACATTAGAAGTTTGTCCACGATTCAGACTCCACTGTTAGAGCATTACACAGCTGCTCCAGGTGGCTGTGAAGTCTGTGACTCCGTGACTCCAGAGAGCTGTGCGGCTCTGCTTCTGCCAGGATCCTGTTGGCTGCAGCGGCCTGCCTGGAAGCTTCTAACCCATACAAGTGTCTGACTCTAGGACGGCCCATCAGTGGGCCTGGGAAGAGAAGCCAGGGTTTTCTAAATTCATGCTTACTGACCCTGCTTCTGTTACTGCGCAGTTTCTAATTGTATAGCACATTCTAGGAAATGTAAAAGACGTAAGACAGCCAGAGTTTACAGTCATGAAGAGTGTCCACTGGAGGCACACGTGGCTTCTCAGGAACCCTAGGAGACTGAAGCCGTGCATGCTTCTCTTCACGTATGTTTTTAGGCTGCAGTCATGGGGGAGGCTGCAGTGGAGGACACCCTTGTCCGCGATCCTGAGCAAGGCTGTCTTCCACGCCTGAAACTGTCCTGCACATGAGAATTCCCAGCCTTTCTTCAAAGGCTACGTAAATCTCTCTCCTTGGAAAGATAGTCTCTCCTTTGTGATCCCTCAGAACAGGAGAGTCGGCTCCCACAAAGGCTGGCCTGTTTGTGCATGCGACCCTCACTAAGAAGCAAGGCTATTACTACTTTAGATCAGAATGAAATGCTGGGTGTCAGTGAGTACGGAGGAAGCACAGTGTAGTTTTTAGCCAGTCTTTCTTAAAGGCAGTATTGCCCATTATATGAGGTATCCTAAACAAAACTGGTTATATTAACTACTAATAAAATCACTTGAATATGTTTGCTTTTGAAATTTATTTTCAAGATGTAATGCATTTTTTTCTTTTTGCAAACTGTTGCATGAATATTTTCTGGAAGGTAACTTTATGTCCTTTTTAAAATGTTACGTGACAGAATAAAACAAGGATTTCTAGATTGTCATCTGTTGTCTCCTAATTTTCTTACCAAAGCTGTCTTCCAAAATTTGTTGCATCTGTTCTGAATGGAGTGGTTCATTGTTGATGTTTGGCCCACTTTTCTTCTCACTTTGCTAGTAACATATTCAGTGACTCATACACACTCATTGGTTATCTAATGTTCCAGCCCACTGATTCACAAATGTGTGTCTCCAGTCCTGACCGTGTACCTTTTAATGATTCATATACTCAGCATCTGTAATTATGTGACTGAGATTTAACGCACCTGCAAATCCCATGTTTGCCTACAGCCAGAGTTGTGAGGAGGAGCATTTTTATACGCATTGAAACTGCATGGCTTTATCACCATCATCTCATCTAGTTCCTGGACACTTCTCTTCCTGATTTTTGCCACATTCCTTTTTAAAAGCTATCGATGCATCCCCATGGCCCACTGCATAGGTGTAATGTCTGAAAGATCAACTACAAGATCCTCCTGTGGTCCAGTCTCCGTCTTTGTCCTTTATCTCCTGCCCAAATACACCTGCCACCCACATTCCACACTCCACAGCTTGCAGTTCCCTAAGTGACTTTATTCTGTATTTGTTTCATGTGCTGATTTCCTGGCCTAACCTATCATCTCTATAGCCAGGCCATCACTTTTTCTAGTGTTTTCTTAACGTGCCAAGAATTTCCATAGCACCCTGTACATAACATCCTCACCTGCCACTGCCTGAAATTCCCCCATTTACCCATCTGTCTCCCCACCAAAGAGTGAGGTTTTGAAGGTAAAGAGTGTGTCTGTGTCAATGTTATCCCCAGGATATGGGTCAATTACTGAGACCTTGACAAGGCACAAAAGATATCTGATTGCTTAAAATAAATCTATTAAAATTCTAAATTGTGTTGATGAGGCAGGATGGGAAAGGTATGCATGGACAGTTACTGAGTAGATTCATGTTGGAGTTAGAAATAAGGCTCATGACTGATCTCTGCGATTGGTGGCTTCTGCATCCATAGCTGAGAGGTTGGGCTTTGAGCCATGAGAATGCCAAAGAACCTGCTGAAACAGTCAACTGACTTCTCATTTTTTCCCCTCAAATGTTTCAAAACAAGACTGGTGGTGATGGCTACATGTATGGCATAGTTTTGCCTGTGGTTTCACAGATGGATACATATGTGCAAATCCATTCATTATACATTAAAATATTCAGTCTTTTACAACCACTCACAACTCATGTAACAATACAGTGTTTTTTTAAAACAGGAGAAAGCCTAAGTTAGTATACAATCATTGACAAAAGTCTCTAATTGCCAACCAGCAAAATGCTCAGTAATTAAATACAATTCTCAGGATTTTGCCTATTGTTTTTTTTTTTTTATTTGAAAGAGTTACAGAGAGAGTTAGAGACAGAGAGAGAGAGGTCTTCCATTTGCTGACTCACTCCCCAGATAGCTGCAACAGCTGGAGCTGCGCTGATCTGAAGCCAGGAGCCAGAAGCCTCCTCCAGGTCTCCCATGTGGGTGCAGAGCCTAAGGACTTGGGCTATCCTCCATTGCCTTCCCAGGCCATAGCAGAAAGCTGGACTAGAAGAGGAGCAGCCGGGACTAGAACCGGTGCCCATATGGGATGCCGGCGCTTCAGGCCAGGGCCTTAACCTGTTGCGCCACAGTAACAGCCCCTGCCTACTGTTTTTGAAGTAACAATATAATCTGTTACAGATTCAGTTTCTTAGTGGGACACAACTCATTGGTATATGTAGACCATAGATAACATCACATGCTAAAGAGATCATGTAGATCATCCATCTTAATCATTTTCTCTCACACAACAAAGATTTGAGATTCATGTAAACTCTTTTGTATCTGCTCTGTATTGCAATCTGGCATCAAATTATATCACAAGTACTTCTACTGCCATACACTTACATTTTTTCTTTGCTACAACTGCCTTTCCCTGTATTTCTTGTTGGTAAAGTCCTCTTCATGATTCATCTAAATAAATGCAGTATTGAAATTATAAATTCCATGCCAGGAAAAGTAAGTCATCCCCGTAGTGTCTCATGTTCATTGTTCTCTATGCCTTCTCATTGCTGCATCCACTCATCTTCATTCACATTTGCAAAGTGATTGCAATGCTGTCTTTTAATAAACTTTATGTCCCTCTCCAACATTAAAAATTATTCCTTGTAAATATATAAAATAAAAGTAATATCATCTGTCTGTTCAGAAAGAAGCACTACTGAACAGGCAGCCCTAGAGCTGTAAAAATATAGCTTTTTTTTTTTTTTTTTTTAGAGATTACTCTCATTGCATTGCATTATGCTAACTGAAAGAATCAAATGGCTCCATATGGATTGAATCAATTTGTATGTCATTCCTGAAATGGAATTTTAGCTGGTCAGAAGAAAAATGAATAGTTACCTGGGACTGAGTGCGGGAGATTTGTTGAGTTCAAATGGACAAGGAAAAAATGCTTTATTGGTTAATATTGCTTATAGAGGTGAGAACATACTGTATGTGTTCATAAAATCTCTCAGCACTATACATGAAGAGGGGATATGTAGTATATGGGAATTGTTACATTAAAAGAAAAAAATTGGACAGTAGCCATACTAGTGATGCATATCCACAAACCAACATCTTATTTATTGTCAGACTTTCCAGCCCTGAGAGGTGGGGCAAATGGGGAGGACTTGCTGCCAGCACTCTTGACCAAGGAGCTGGACAGGGGAGCTCTCTTTGCTCACTCTATAAAGTCATCATACACCTTTGACTGACTTATTTAAGACCACGTTCTATGAGACATGAAGACGTTCATAAAAAAAAAAAAAATCTAACCCACTACTTCATTCCTAAATCTCAGATTATGAACAATAACATCTTAAATTTAGTGAAACGGGCAAAATAAAGGGTGAGTTCTGAGATAATATGTAACCTGAACAATTTAGCAGCTCACAGACATTCAGTAAAAATAGCAGTATGTTCAATACCAGCATCTTACTTCTCATCTGAAATGGGAAATGAGGGATGGGGCACCGTGCTTTCATTTCCAGTGTGTCCACAAACATGACTGGATTTGAGAGCTAATGGAGGAAACATGCCATGAATGTAACAAAATTATATAAATACACCAAAATTATTTTTTAAGAGGTATATGAGTTTCTGGGTATGTGTTTGATACAGGGTTTATTTTTTTTTTAAGACAGAAGAATGGTTGGTTTTCTGGGTACATTGCTTTTGTGTTGTCATGGTACATCTCTCCCCTCTTCAAAGAGGCAAGGCTTGGTCATATAGATGTTTAGTAAGTGAGAAATGGCACATTTCAAATGACAGGTGAAAAATACAATGGTGGATTCCAAATGTGTTTCTTCTTGAAAACAGAAGTTGAAATTATAAAAATACTAGAAATGCTTTTATTTGAATTCTCAGATTTAAGGGTTTCTTTCTGAGTGAGAAACAAATTAAGAATTTCTTCCAACTCCACCACTTGGGGCAAGTCATGAGAGTATTTCAGGCATGGAAAGCCAAGACACTCTGGCAAAAGATCTCTGCGAGTGAGATCCCAGTGGAAAGAACAGGTCATCAAAGAAGGAGGTACCTTTCTCTGAAGGGAGGAGAGAACCTCCACTTTGACTATGACCTTGTCTAAACAAGATAAGAGTCGGAGAACTCAGAGGGCTTCCATAGCCTTGGAAACTCATGACTGGAGCATAGGGAGATTACTGATGCCATAGACAGGAGTGTCAATTGGTAAAGTCAACAACAGGAGTCACTGTGCACTTACTCCTCATGTAGGATCTCTATCCTTAATGTGCTGTACATTGAGATTTAATGCTATAACGAGTACTCAAACAATATATTTCACTTTGTGTTTCTATGGGGGTGCAAACTGTTGAAATCCTTACTTAATGCATACTAAACTGATCCTCTGTAAAAAAAAAAAAAAAAAGAAAAAGAAAAAAAAAAGAAATTATCAATTCCCAACTTGACTCTCACTGGGATTAAACATGACAATAGGTCTGCTCTGATTTCATCATCATTTAAAAAAATCATCTATTATTTTTCACTTTATGTTTCTGTGTGGGAGCAAACTGTTGAAATCCATACTTAATGTATACTAAGCTGATCTTCTGTATATTAAGATAATCGAAAATGAATCATGATGTGAATGGAAGGGGAGAGGGAGTGGGAAAGGGGAGGGTTGTGGGTGGGAGGGACGGTATGGGGGGGAAGCCATTGTAATCCATAAGTCGTACTTTGGAAATTTATATGCATTAAATAAAAGTTTAAAAAAAAAAAAAAGAATTTCTGAGAGAAACTTTTATTTTACTGCAGAGAATTTTGAAAAGTTTGTACTGCTGAAAATATCACTAAAGAAACAAGTGACAAAGACCCATGAAAAGGGCTTACATAAATAATAATGACTCTTTGTCTCTTTCAACAGTTTGTTTTAAAGTTTATTTTGCTGATATGAATTTAGCTACTCCTTCTCACTTTTGATTTCCATTTGCATGAAATATCATTTTTCATCCTGTCACTTTCACTCTGTGTGTACTTTATTGGTGAAATATGTTGCTTTTAGGCAACATATTTTGGCTTAATTTATTACCCAGTTAGCAGTCTGTATCTTTTAATCAGGGAATTTAGTCTATTTATATTCAAGGTTATTATTGATAAGCAATGACTTGGTCCTATTATTTTTCCATAAATGCTCCTATTGTTTGTTTTGAAACTCCTTTGTCATTTCACTATGAGGAATTCTGCCTTCAGAATGATGCTAATTGTCTTTCTCTGTTTCTGTATGGACTACAGTCTTTTTAAAAAAGGTTTATTTTGTAATCCATAAGCTGTACTTTGGAAATCTATATTCATTAAATAAAAGTTAAAAAAGGTTTATTTTATTTATTTGAAAGAATTATAGAGAGAAGGAGAGAGCGAGAGAGCGAGAGCGAGAGAGGTCTTCTATCTGCTGGTTCACTTTCCCAATGGCCACAACGGCCAGAAGCTTCGTCCAGGTTTCCC